TAAATCTAAATCTGCTACTTAAGAATTTAACAAAATAGAGTATTACATCAATTTACACATAAAACAGAATTGATGTTAATTACAATTCAAAAAGAAATTTCTTCATTAACTTATTAAACTAAGTAGATGTCTAAAAGAAGCCCTAATACATCAACTAGGACATATGAAGCTAAGATAAATTTGCACTTAATTTATAAAAGCACCATAAAATTAATTAAACAATTTAATAATTTATGCAACACTCCATCAATTTTTTTTAAACAACTCACTATTTAGGTTTCTAATTCCAATTAATCTGATGATAAATTATCATAATTATTCATTTAATAGGACACAAGTTCCAAACTACAAAACTAGTTATATCAATCACCCATTTCTAATACGTCAATCTAATTATTAGGAAGCTAGTCCAACCAATAGCCCATTCACAGGGTATCAATTTTATCACTAGGAAATTAGTATAACCAATATTCATATAGTAAACTTGCATAATAGAAGTTTTGACATGCATTTTACAAGAAACTTAAAAACAAATTTATAATAGACTTTTAAAATAATTGTCTAAGATGTCGAGCACTTACCTGAACTATGTACTTTACTAGTCATCCCCCGCTATTATTTGATGCCCGCGATCTCATACGTAATAACAGGTATACTTTATTAATTCCAAGCTTTATCTATGCATACAAACATTTTTCATTTCTATTCCCTCAATTATTCAACATTTTCAATCTAGAACAACTTCAAATAAGAGTAACAATTTATAAATTTTAGGTGGCTCAACATAATTGACTCAGAATACTATTTAGTATTTTGATTACAACTGGAATTATAAAACTCAATTTTATATTTGGTTTCTTTCTTTAGAAAGTTACAACATAGTTCTATAACTTTGAACAAGATTACTAAACCCAGTTTTGTTATCAACATGCCTAGATTCATAAATTACAGAAGTAAACAAAAAAAAAAAATTTTGCTAATTTTGATTTAAACCCTTTTTTAATTTTTATCTCATATATAGTGTTTTGTCACTCTAATTTAAGCAAGGTCAATTGTGTTTGAAAGGTAACATCGATGCACTTTTATGATGAAATTATCTCAAATTTTATCATGTTAGAGTCCTAATCTTAATAGAGGAACTGAGAGATAAGCTGTCTATTTTTTTTATTTCTAAGTTTAACAAGTTTTTACGTGTTTTCCTATATAATTTCCCATCATTTTTAGCAATCATAACATATAACACCTTCAACATAAATCTTAAATCCATCAACCTCATTAAACTCATTAATTAAAATGAAAACTCTATCTACTAACCTATTTTTCAATTAAAATGAAAACTCTATTTACTAACCTGTATACACCTCTTATCCTAATAAGTATGTCTTCATTTGCATTCTTTAATACAAAAAGTTTGTGTCGGTCAACTTCAAGAAGATAACTTGATGAGTATTAAAGAGAGGGATCATAAAAGCACCACCATAATGAAGACTAGAAATGGCAGCAGCGACAACAATTAAGGGAAAAGATGCCTTAATTTATTCAATAGCATTTAGAATAAAGGTTGGTGACGCAAAAACAATGATGGAGGAGCAATCAGTGCAATAAAACTAGAAGGATAAAGCATTAGCATAGTAGGTGCAAATGAGACAACCAATATATTGAAAAAAATTAGAGGAGGTCACAATTTGATTATAATTAGGATCTATGAAGAGTTCTGTCAAAATATGGCTTTGATATCAAGTTGAAAAGAGTATATAAGATAAAGTTTTTTAGTATAATAAAAGACTCGATAAAGATACAATAACCATCCTCTTTTATTTATATAGCTAAGGTTGTTTACAAAAACAAACATATAATGCACTACACATAATTATATTTTTATATAAGGTAATTCCTATAATAAAAGTTCACTCATTGCTAAACTGAATGTTTAAACACATTAATTTAAATGAGGGATTGTTGAGATATTAATTGAAATCCTAATATAAGTAGGAATCCTTAATTTAAAAAAATGTATTAGACCAGTTAACTAGAAACCTTATTTAACTAGTTAAATTAAATCTTTATTGGATTATGATAGTTAAAGATTGTAATCTTCCTATAAATATAAGGGTTAATAAATTCACAATTTAAAAGTGTTGAGTCAATCAAAGCTTGGAAGGTGAAATATTTGTGTGTTTTATTTTTGACATAACTCTAGACAAGTTTTATAATTATATATAGCCTCTTTTGAGAAACTTGTATATATTTTTAATGAATGTGTTATGTAGACAATCGATTAGTTATATGTAGCGCTAATTTTATTCATGTAAAATATATTTATTATCAATAAAAATTTTCTTTATCTTTAATATTTATTTATATTTTATTAATGAATCTAATATTTAATTAATAAAGATAAAATCTACGAGGCAAAAATAATTTGCAAAGAAAATTATAAAGATGTTATAATTATGATATTCTTATTACATCAAAGTATTATTTCTAAATGTTCATGGTCAATGTTCTATTAATATTTAAAATTAATTAGAGTTGTTTAGACCAGTATATATTATGCTCATTTCTTTATGAAAGCAAATAGTTGTTCTCATAAATTAATGTATGAAGGATATAATTTCTTTATGAAAGCAAATAGTTGTTCTATGAAGGATACATGAAATTAATATACAAGTGTTTTGTCATATGACATATATACTGAACTGACCCATAAACATGTACATTGAACTGACCCACAAGATAAGTCCATATAGAGGGATCACTTCTATCTACGAACAAGGTTATCGCGATAGTTGTATAAGTGATTCTTAGAATTAATATCATTAAATTATCATATAAATGAAGTGTTATACTTTGATCCTGACCACATGTTATCCTTATTAAAGGTAACAAACGTATAGATATTGAGTATATCATAAACTATATGAAAGTTTTTGAGTAGTCAAGAGAGGATTTATCACCTTAGGTGAATTAAAAAAAATGTTTCATATCTTTTTAAATAGTATTGATTGTAAAATAATTGGTCAAAATGGAATGAATTTTGAAAATAGTTCGAAAATCTTTTTCAAATAATCAATGACTATAATATTAACTTGAGAACTAACATGATTTGATAAAACAGATATACTCTATATTACAATATTTAAATCAAAACATTCTTGATGAATGGATAATAATTACACCGAGAAATTAGTAACTCAAAAATTAAGTCACATAACTTATGACTTTTCTAATATTTGAAGGATCATGGCAGGTTATTAGACATTACTTGATTTTCAAATATAAATCAATCAATTATTAAATTAATAATAATCTTATTTATTTAATCTTATTTTATTTAGAATTATGATTTATATTTAGGTCAATTTATTAGAAAATCTAATAAATCAAATATATAAGAACTATTAATCAGAAATTAAAAAAATAATTAATCAAGTGTTACTTGATTGTAAATAAAATTTAAAAATTAAAGACTTAAATGTAAGTAATATAGGTTATTACAATTTTAAACCTGAAAAACTCTAGTAAGAATTTGATTAAACAAATTTATAAAATTATTATAATATAATATATATAACATTATTTTAAGGGTAAATTGATATTTTATCATTTATAGGGTTCTTAGGTTTTTTTATAAATAGAATATTGTCTCTTATTTTCTAAAAGAAATATAAGAAAAGTATATTATATCAACGCCTAAAACATAAAAAAAAAAAAAACTTTAAGGTATAGTAATTTTTCAATTCTAAAAAGGTTTAAAAAAATTTTCATTTGTAATTCGTATAGATTACTATTAAAAATTAAATATCTATGACTTGTGATAAATTAACCTTGAAATAAATATTTTATATCCAAAATTTACCCATATATATGAACCAAACACATGTCCCTTTCAATTCTCCATCGAACCGGTGGACGACCAAAAGCATCTTATAAATTCAACATTGTTACGTCTATTTTATAGTTTCACAAGATTGAAAAGACTCCACCAATTTTCCCTTGAGAGAAAAGACCAAAGAAAGTGGATCCAAAAAGGGTTTTTTTTCTTTTTTCTTTTTTTTTTTTGTCTTGGAGATCGTGGACTTTGAGTTTTCAAGATGAATGTATAAACTGTTTAATATACTGTTAAATTTAATTTGTTCGAGATGGGCCGGGTACTAATTCTAGGTTAATATGTAAGCATAACACTAACAAATTAATTTAATAACATCCCACGATTCCATTCCACCCCCGCTAGATTAATATTTTTTGCACTTTCCAGCACCCTACAGTCTTCTGCCTACGATGGTTCAATAAAAAGCTTCAGGTTCTTGGTTAAAAAATTTGTGCTTTTCCCAGACGGGACAGCAGAAGTAAATATCCGACTTGCTGGAAGGTTTTATATTAACTTTTAATCTTTTTCTTTCTTTATTCACAGCTTCTTAACAGTGGATAATAACCTTCATTTACTATAACAAAGTCTGAGGACTCGATCTAAATCTGGTTTCGCAAATCATTAGCTGCCATGATATATAAGACCCAACTGTTGATCAGTGGTCTTTCTCTTTTCTTGCTCTTAATTACATCTTTGCAAAGGACGATATGACAATTTGATCAGTTGGAACGAAGATAGTCACATATATATTTGATCGCATCAGGTAACAATTCCCAAATCACAATTGTGCCAATGTACCCATCGCACTTCTAGAGAAAATTAAGAGAAAGGAAAGCTTGATGTTCTGCCATTCACATATCAAGAATCATTTAAGATATGGGGCATCTTGTGATATGAAATTGGAAACTGATATGGTGCCTGAAGTTGACTTCACAACATGCACCAAACTATACAGGGCAACTTGCCACTCAACCTGCTACAGTGGGACTTGAATAATAAATTAAATCGCATGCACGAGTTTTCACACTTGGGCATCCTAAAATCTTAATAATCTAAATCTTAGATAGCAATTTTGCTCTCACTTCACGTATCCATACAAGCAGCTACCAAAACACACCTATTTAAACCAAAACCCGTTGGCCTTTATCCACACATTCTACAATACCCTCCCTCCCTCACACGCACAGACTCTCTCTCTCTCTCTCTCTCTCTCTAGAAATGGATTTGTTTCCAACTCCTGTCGACTCAAGCTGGTGGATGTTTGCACTCCCTGCTATGTTACAAACCCAAAAATTGTCAGACCCTCTAATCTTGCTCTTTGTCTTAGCATCATTCTTGGTCATTACCGTGCTAACTTGGGCTTCCTCAACTGGTGGCCTAGCCTGGAAAAATGGCAGAAACCAAAAGGGTAATGTCCCAATCCCAGGTCCACGAGGCCTGCCCTTATTTGGAAGCTTATTCAGCTTAAGCCGCGGCTTGGCCCATCGCACCCTCGCTTGCATGGCGTCAAGCCAAGCCGCAACTCAGCTCATGGCTTTTAGCTTAGGTTCCACTCCTGCCATTGTAACCTCCGACCCTCAAATCGCTCGTGAAATCTTGACATCTCCTCACTTCGCTGACCGTCCCATCAAGCTATCGGCTAAAAGCATCATGTTTAGCCGAGCCATTGGTTTTGCACCAAACGGGGCTTATTGGCGCCTCCTTAGAAGAATTGCATCAGCTCATTTATTTGCACCGAGGCGCATCGCTGCTTATGAGCCATGGCGCCAGCTTGATTGTGCTAATATGTTGAGTGGCATTTATAATGAGCAATCCCTCCGTGGAATTGTTTGTTTGCGTAAACATCTTCAAAATGCTTCTATTAATAACATTATGGGTACTGTTTTTGGAAAAAGATATGACTTAATGCACAATAATGAGGAGGCAAAAGAATTGCAAGAACTTGTTAGAGAAGGTTTTGAGCTCTTGGGTGCTTTTAACTGGTCTGATTATCTCCCGTGGCTGAACTACTTTTATGACCCTTCTCGCATCAAACAACGTTGTTGTCTTCTTGTTCCTCGAGTCAAGAAACTCGTTAATAAAATCATTGACGAGCATAGAATTACGAAGCCTAAAAATGAATTTGAAAACGCTGATTTCGTCCATGTTTTGCTTTCTTTGGAGGGTGAAGAGAAACTTGATGAGGATGACATGGTTGCTGTTTTATGGGTTAGTATTTAATATATTTTTTTAAGTTAGCTGCCTTAAATGTTTCTCTATATACAAGCGGTGTACTGATTACTATGGGTTTAATTCGCTGTGTGCAGGAGATGATCTTTCGTGGCACCGATACCACCGCTCTTTTGACTGAGTGGATCATGGCAGAGTTGGTTTTGAACCCTGAGATTCAAGCCAAGCTGCGGAACGAGCTGAACTTTATCGTTGGAAACAGGAGTGTCAAGGATGCTGACGTAGCTAAATTGCCATACCTACAGGCTGTGATCAAGGAAACCTTACGAGTACATCCTCCTGGGCCCCTCCTCTCATGGGCTCGGTTGTCCACATCAGAAGTCCACCTCAGTAATGGCATGGTGGTCCCCACCAACACCACTGCAATGGTCAATATGTGGGCCATAACCCATGACCCAAGAGTATGGGAGGATGCCTTGGTGTTTAAGCCTGAGAGGTTCTTGGAGAGACAAGGTGGTACTGATGTGGATGTAAGAGGAGGTGACCTCAGACTTGCACCATTTGGGGCTGGACGTAGGGTTTGTCCTGGTAAGAACATGGGACTTGTGACAGTGAGCCTTTGGGTGGCTAAGTTGGTGCGCCATTTTGAGTGGGTCCAGGACACGCATCACCCAGTTGACCTAAGCGAAGTGCTGAGACTTTCATGTGAAATGAAGAAGCCTCTCTCCGCCGTGGCTATTCCAAAAGAATGATGTTCAACTTTCCTAGAATTTGGGTCTGATCTGAGGACTTGAATTTATAATTTTCAGTGATTTAATATGTTTTTTTTTTTCGTGTCCACGGATCCTGAAACATATATGTGGTTAAATTAAGAATAAAGGTAATTAAAGGGTGATGTGAAGGTGACTGTATAATTACGAAATTGGGTTTATGTAAAAATTGAAGGGTGCGTGAGATGACATTGCTATGTGGTTTGTTCTGTATTCATTACAATATGATTTATACCGCTAAATGTTTTGTATTTCAATAAGCTAATTTGGTCATAATTGCCTCTTCAAGCGTGTATTCTGGTACCTATAAAAATAAAGAGTATATTTGTGTTTTGGATGGATCGTTGTCGTATTCTTAAATTATCTTTTTTCTTTTTTTCAATTAGATCTAGAGCAGCCAGCTAAGTGTTAGATTGATAATTGAAAACGATTGTAGAATTTGTTTTATATATATATAAAAAAAATCAACGAAGAGAGAAACGATAATTTAGATTATTTTTTTAAATAGTATTTTTATTATTATCCAAACATAAAAGACAATAACAATAAAGATAGAAATATGTTTAGTTGAATAGATAAAAAAATAAAAATTAATTTGTCTTTATAATAATTTTAAAGTGAATTTTTATACTTTCAAAAGATGAGATAAAAAGAAAATGTCTCTAAAGATAATATTTTTTATTTTTTATTTCTACAATATCATTATAAAAAAATTTCAATTTTAAAATTATTTAACTAAAACATATAAAGATAAAAAATAATTTTTAATAGTCTTAAAACTCAACTTGGGGTTAATATGAAGTAAAGCCCATATCAATGATCGACGCCGAGGTAATAGATTACATTGATCCAAGTCAATGTATGAATAAAAATTATTATTATCATAGTTTTAAAATTCAATTTAAAAGTGAAACTAAGAAAGGTCTCGGGTCATAAATATAGTTGACCGTTGATCCAAGTCAATATAAGGAGAAAAAAAAGAAGTTATTATTACAGTTTTCAAACTCGACTTGAGGATTGACCTGAGGTAAGATTCAAGTTATATGTCAGGAGGATCAATTCAGGTTGACCCGAGTTAACATAAAATAAAAATAGTTAGTATTATTGTTTAAAAACTTGATTCGATGATCAATCCGGGGCAAGGCCTAACTGATTAGGATAGTCAACTCAGGTTGACTCAAATAAATGTAAGAACAAAAGTTGTTAATATCATAATTTTAAAACTAGACTTGAAGGTCGACTAAGGCGAGACTTAAGTCACAATTCGGGAGTATCAACATGGGTTAAACAAGTCAATGTATGAGTAAAAGTGATTATTATCATAGTTTTAAAATTTAACCCGGGAGTCGACTCAAGACAAAGTTCAAGTCACGGGTCGGGAGAGTCAACCCTATTGACCCCAAATCTTTTTAAAAAATAATCAAAACTACCTTGTTTTAACAAAAAAAAATCAAAAAATTAAACATGTTTTTGACTGGGTTAAGTCAAGCAAATTCTTTCTCTATTTTTTTTTAAAATCATATCAATTTAGATTCATGGTCAAATTGTCAAGTCAATCCTGGTTTTATGACAAACGTTATTAAAATATTATTAATTTCAACATTCAATATAAACTAAATTACAATATATATATATATATATGTTAGTTTGACAACAACACATATTAAGGGTAAAATAAATTTTTTTATAATTATTATGTCTTATCCACCATAACCAAACAAGATACAAAAAAATAATTTTATCTTGTACATCACTACTAAACATTATTCTCTCTTTGTATTATTTTATGTCTTGTCTCTATTGTCTTCGTCTCTTTTATTTCAAGATAGTAATCAAATGCTACATTAAACCTATAAGAGATAGGACCACCATCCATCATGGATCGATATTTTACAATTCCCTCATCTAGAAAAGTTTTTTAATTTTTTTAAGCTAAGATCAATATCAATTACAATATATATATAATAAGCTTGATCGGCCTTTCACTATGAAGAAAGAATTCATGCATTGTGAAATGCTATAGTGTACTAACAATTGTTTCCTCTGTAATTGTAAGGAAATGGATGAGTTTTAAGGGGTAAAATAGTTTTTTCATAGAGTTCAATTAGCATTACCAATTTTTTTAGGAGTATATTGGTCTTTTTATTTTTTATTGTATAATGAAATTATTAATTTACCCTTTAAAAACAAAGATTATAACCTTAGGGCAAGGGGTGTTTATTGTTTTTTAATTTTGTGAACAGTGTAATTACTTAACTACCCTTTCAATCTTGTTTTTCTTTAAATGGAATCAATAGGCGTTTTCATCATTTCACTTTGGCTTTTCTATAAATTTCAATCAAAATTAGAGGTAATTGGGTCTTATATATATGAGGTGGCTATAGGGAGAGATGAGAGCCAGAAACAAAAACAAAAAAAAAAAGAGACTACATAGAAAGATGAGAGGCAAAAACAAAGAGTGGGGGTGCGGGTATTGGTTTAGGTTAGAGATTATGATAATCTCTTTTATTTTTCATGGTTATGGTTGAACCGGTTTGGCTCATTCCGGTTCAATCAGTTTCAGGCATTTAAAAAACAAAATCAAACCAAACCAAAAATTATTTTGGGTTTTCTAGTTGATTAATTTAATTTTTTTTTCTTGGTTCTGTTTTTTCGATTTAAGCAGTTTTTCAGATTTTTTGCTCACCCCTACAATATGTCTCCAATGGACTTTTTTCTCCTCCTTTCCCTTTTGTCTCTCATCTTTTAGGCAAAATACAAAAGCTTCCTTTCATTTGTTTTATTTATACAATATATTCCTCATTCGTTTGATTTCCTATTTATACAATATAGTCCTCATTTGTTTGATTTCCATCTATTTTGTTTTTTTTTTCACTTTTATTCATTAAATTTTGTTTCCAATTTAATCCCTATCATTTGATTTCATTTATTTTTTATTTCAAATTTCTCATTCTCTTGATTTTTATCTTTTATATGTTAATGTTTTGTTTTTCAATTTCATCCATCATCATATAATTTCATTTAATTTTTATTTAATTTTGATTCTTATTATTTTTATTTTTATTTATTTCATTTTTATCCTTTTTCTAATTCAATTTTGTTTTCAAATTCATCCATTAAAATTAGAGATTACAATAGAGTGTCACCTTGACCCATCATGTCTCGCTTTGAATAGGTTGGTGTTTTTTGGTCTAATGAATAATAAATGAGGTGTGAATATTATCAAAATAAACTTGAAACCGCTTGAACCTAACCCAAAATATATATTTATATTATACAAATATATTTGTAAAACATTTAGATTTTTTTTAATACAATGTGCTATATATTAGTTGAATAATTTGATATGTACACATATACACACACACATTTCAAATTTATATATTAGTTAATTTATTTTTTGTCTAATAATAAATAGTTCTTAGATAATGGGTATTCAAAAGGATAAGTAATTTCATTCATCAACATTAGAGATGACAATTTAATCCAAACTCAATGGATATTTCACATGAATAGTTATTTTTTTTTTTATGGTTATCTTACCCAATATATAATGGATAAAGAATAGATATTATAAAATTCAATTTGAAATCCGTCGAAACATAACATGAAATGTATAGTTATAATATATAAATATATTTGTTGAACATTTTCTCTGTTTTGATATTCATATGGATATCCAAAATCCAATTGATGGTTTATATATATTTAAATTTTTTACCCGGTGTGTAACAAATAGAGTATGAATATCAAGAAATCTGAAACACTTGTCCATCCATACTCAACATTCAATCTTGATTTTCTTTAATGTCAAATTTTATCTATTTTTTTTATTGCTCTTTATTTTATTTTGGTTCCTTTTCTTGTTTCCTTTTCATTCATATTTCATCCCATGGTGTTTTGTAATTGAAAATTTTACTTCATTATTTTTTGGCTTTACTTTTCTTGTTTCCTTTTCATTCATATTTCATCTCATGGTGTTTTGTAATTAAATTTTGGGTTTACTTTTGATGGGGTTAATTACAAGCTCATGATTAGGGTCATGGGTTTCAAATATTAACACAAATTGATCTTAATCTTTTTTTAGGTTATTTATTGATTTTTTAAAAAATTGCATCCTTAAATGTTTGATTTATTAGGAATTGGTCTTTATATTTTTTTTATTTTCCATTTTTTTATTTTGAGTGTATTTGAGAAAACAGTGCAAACAACGTTCCCTTAAATTTTGAATTTGTGTTGCTTAAAGTAAAAAATATATATATTTTTATATCGTTTTGTTGTGTCAATATCAAAAAAAAAAATTCATTTTGATGCATTTCTAAGTGAAAATCACTTTGAACCACCATCACTATCATAATCTCAAACACACTCAATTTTATGTCCATGGTCCTAGAGTTAATAGACTGACTTAGTTTGACTAGGATTTTTTTTCATTTCTCTTTTTTTATGTATTTTTTCTTACCAATTTCACCTTTTAACTTTGAATTACATGATAATTGAGCTTTCAATTTGTTTTCGACAGAGTTTTCCTAGTGTTCCGACCAAATCATAAAATTTACATGCTAACCTGAATGGAATTAAACCAGTTTTTGAAAACTTTTTTTCTTATTTTTTATTTATATTATCAAAATTAGGGAAGCTGATTGACTCGGTCAAGCTAAAAACATAAGTCTTGATTTTTTATTTTTTTTTAAGAACACGTGTGTTTTCCTAGATTTTTTATAGGGAAAAAAATTAGATCGATTTACAGGATAAAATTGATCCTAAAGATATATAAAGAATTAACATGGATATCATGTGATTAGTAAAATTCAATATACAAAATTCTCAACTCTTTAATATTCTATATGATCAAGAGATTTGACATAGAATATTAAAAGATTAATAACAATTATACATATATAATTAATTGAAACTAGAATGATTGAAGTGGTATAGTTATGGTGATACCAAATAATAAGTTACTCAATTCGCCCACCTTGAAGAAAAAGACTAACGCATAGAGAAGAGAAAAAAATAGAATTCATGACCCATAATAAATGATAAAAATATATCCTTTAAAATTTCTCTCCTACTTGTATGTGTTTTTTTATTAAAAAAAAAATAAGCCCCAGCAAATACTTTATAGGATTCCACTAGATACTTTTCGCAGTATCATAGTTCAATCCTAACATCAAAATGTTTTGATAATAATTACAGAATAATTATTCTATATCAATTACAGAAAAAAATCAATAAAACTATTCATATCAATTTGGTAACTTCACAGTTATCTTATCTTAGATGTATACAAATCATGATATAATGTTAAGTTCAGTGCTAAGAAAGATCCATATTATTGATCAAAATCCATGTGTTATATTAGATGAAATTTAAATAATACTATAAAAAAAATTAATTTCCATACCATATGCATCAATGAAGAAGTATATGTCATCTATAAATATAAAAGAGAAAGAAAATTAACTAACAAAAAGTGGCTAAGCTTGTTAAATCTTATTGAATTTTAACTCATATTTTTAAATCGCACTAAGATATTTTGTATATACCATCCAAAATGCTCTTCGTTAACCAGCTCGCAAGCTTCCAAAATCCTATCACACTCTCCAGCATGAAGCCCAACTGCCTTCTCTAACAAAAGATGCTTCTCCTCAGCTGCCAAGCAGGCTCATTCGACAGAGGCTGGTCGGGAGAGCTGTAGAGGAGTCAATCGAAAGAGCTGTAGACTTGGGCCCCTGCTGTCTTGCAGCGAAGAAAAGCGTTAGTTGACATCCAGCCTCTCCCTCGGATAAGCACGCACGCACGCAAGCACATACATATTTCCAACTCCCTTCGTCTTTGCAGAAACAGAACCGCAGAGCACCTAGCACTTCCAACTCACTAGCACAAAATATTTCTTTAAAAGAAGACCCAATTCTAAAAACAAATCCACATGGCCCAATATAAAAGCAGAAATCCTGAATATATAATATTTAACTAGACAAGATGAGTTTCAAAACGAATGAAAGTCCATTATGTGGATTTCATTCGAAATCACAATCAAAGCTTGAAGCCGCATTTTTTTTAAAAGACACATCATGCGATCATCAAACACTGTAACAGACATTCCCATGCCACAAATCTCATTTGCAAAGAAATGGACAAGATGGCAATTATGTGTTATTTGACAATAGATAGAGTCCAGTCCAATGAAAGGAAGCAGCGCCAGCAAGATATGTCTTTGATTAAATCTCAACAGGCTTTGAACCTTGGGCAATTGACGTCGTGACTGCATCCAGTATAAGCTGTGTTTTCCTGCTTATACTTGGCCACTTTGGATCGGGTTTTGCGCCATTTGCTTTAATATTTCCAACCAAGCGGGCAAACTCTGTCACCATGCAAGCTTCCTGGGGGAGATCTGTGGTTACAGTGTGCTGGCTTGGCACAGGCACCCAACCTGTCACAAGATCTGTGAACCTAGATTTTGTAACTGTTGTGAACGACGCTTCCTTCTCTCCAAAAGGAATTATGAAATCATTGAGATGCAAAGTCCCCGCGGTTCCAATAGCAGTAATATCCATTGTCAAATGAGCCAAAAAAGAGCAATGGAAAGTTGCCACTTTCCCATCTTCCCAATGCAGAGCAGCACCACAAGACAAAATAACCCCTGCTTCATTTAAAACAGGCCCAGGCAACGCTGTTACAGTTTTCGGCAGTTCATAGTCAACAGCCCATAGAATTGACCTGATGCCATACCACCCCGCATCACCGAGAGCACCGAGAGCATCAAGATCTGACTTCACACGAATGTCATTTTTGAGAAAATCCTCATCACCAGCAAATGTAAAGCAGCTGTGTATCTGCAGGACTCCAAAGAAATTTTATGACACCAAAAACATGTGTATATTAGAAATTGATTTGCTGCTGGCTTGTTGCATGAGAAAGCAAACACATAATATCTTCACAACTCTCCCACAACAGCCTTATACTGTACCCCAGTACTTGTACATTGATTTCATATTTAAACTTGTCAATATTTTTTTTCCTAATGGCTACACTGAAGAATTAACTTAGCAAACACTAAAATCATAAACAATCAGGTCAAGGAAGCCTAAAAGACCCTTCGTTTTCAAGGCTTTAAAGAAGTCCATATTTTGCTTGGTTTAGATCTTCGGATTTAACAAACCCAACCTAGCTCACTCATGCTTAGCTTCCATATCATCCCAAATGGATGTCAGCACAAAGTGTTCTACCAAATGGGATTTTATGACAACAATAGATCATTGACTTGCATCAAAAAAATTTAAATGTAAAAAAAAAACTTAGGCATTGTTAACATGTTTTCTAGTAGAACCGCGTGCGCGCGCGCACCATGTTGGAATTCACTCGGTATGACCCAGTTGACTTTGTGAATCTAAAAACAATCAGAACAGCCAATAAAAACATATTTTGACTAAAAAAATTCAAGATATCTTTTTGAAAAAAAAAAGACGGCAACTCACAAAAAACAAAATGAAATAAATTATGAAGCACAATCCCTGATAAACTCAATGTTAAAGGATAAAATTAAAAATATAACCCAAACAATTACTAGAGTCAACTCAAATTAACTTGAAACTGCGATAACTTCATATAAAATAAATCAAAACAAATTATTAAATTAAATAAATTCTCAATCAACCCAATGTTAAAGTATAGAAGTAGGAAAAAAAAGTTAAATTAAAAAAAAATGACACAAAAACAAACAACCCGAATCAATTCAGGTTAACCCTCCAAACTTGCAATCTGAGTCATAGAACCAGAACAATCTCATAAAAAGCAAATTGAAACAAATTATAAAGTTTAATTCCTAATAAATTCAATATTAAAGAATGAATTTGTAAAAAAAATCTTAAAAAAAATTGTTCAGAAGGATCTAAACACTAACTTCACCTCCTGTTTTAGATTTTGTTAAGAATAATAATATATTTCATAGAAATGAGTAGAAACAAACCATATAACACATAATGATTCCAACTTAATCTATATGTGTATAAGATACGCAAATTAAATAGATTCAAGCACTATTTGTTTTTGTGTTTCATTTGAAAAAACATCAATTTGATTATTATTTTTTAATATTTTCTAATAGCTTCGATGTAATGATGTCAAAAATAATTTAAAAAAAATCATTTTCATGTATTTTCAAGCATAAAAATACTTTTAAAAAACATCATATACCACAATATCAATCACACACTCGGTCACACATGCACCCAACCCAACTCACCAATTCCATAATTTTAGCATTCCCTTTAAAGGAAAAGCTTTCAGTGATAAAGCAATCCACAAATTCCCAGTGGGCATGGAAATGTTATCAATACCCAATTCTTGACTTCTCACGAGGCCTGCGCCCAATCCCTGCTAACCATCCCACTCAAAACATTCCAAACAAGCATAGAAACGGGGGCTAAGATGGTGTCATCAACAGAACAATTGGGATGCATTGGGTTTCAAAATAACCTGGCAGTGTCAGAAAAGCTTTTGCCAAATTAAAACACGAGTTCAAAGTTTCAATGCCAGCAAATATACGTTTGATGATCCATTTTGGTATCAGTGGAATAGGATTGTAAAACATTTGCAAAATTTGATATCATTGTAAATTCAGGTTTCCTAGCAAGAGCAATGGGCAAAAGGCATCGGGTTATAATTAATGCAAACCTAGCCAAAAACGAAGATTAGCAAACTGCTAAATTCACAGGTTAGCAAAGAATGAAGCAGCAGCATCAAGTCACTTCAAAAAAGAATATATTTAACACGTTACAAATGGAAGTTTAAAACCACTTTTAAAGAACAGAAGACCTCAACCAATCCCATTATAAAAAAAAAAAAAATCAAAATAAATTTAAAGTTTTGTTTGAGCATAAATAAGCTATAGCATAAAAATCACACTCATATGAGTAAAACATGGTAGCTTTATTGTACCTCACATTATTTCACCAATTAACTACACAATGGCATAACCCTATCATTCTAACTAATGCAAACCAAGACAACAAGAGATAAGTTTGGTTGGCGAATGGTGTCAATGATGATGAAGTAGCGAAACTTCAAATAACGAGGTCAACCTTCTCATGGCTAGGTAGGTTAGAGGGATGAAAATCAGGAGTGGAGCAGATGAACTGTGTACCAACAAAACAAGTTCCCCTAAACAGGATAAGGAACCTCTGGTAATTAAGTCAAATATATGGAGGAAATGGTGATGCAACGTAAAGCGAAAGATATAAAATCAGTGTTTCTCAAGCATTATGTTACAGTCTGGATATTGGAGTAGATCCAAAATAGACTACAATTCCTCGAGTCACATCGTCCTATCATAGATGGGGCCGGGAATACGATATAAAATGACATTTTTTTACAATTACTTCATCTTACATATCTAGAATTAGAAACAAAGGGATTCTTTTGTCCGATCAATAACAAATGGATACATGATGCAAGCTAAGAAATCAAATAAAACCCTATTTTTGCCAAAATGTTAGCTCTCCCTAATACAAATCCAAAAAAAGAAATCAGCCATATATAAATGTAAATATTGGATATACTGCACAAAACGTACGCTAAGTAATTCTATCCAAATAACTTGGCTATAAACAGCACAAAATCCATAATTGACTGAAAATAACAAAATTACCCGAAAGGAATAGTAATAATAACAAAAGAAAAGATTTAAAACTTACATTTTTTAGCTCTCCAAACCGCTCCTTATCGTTCAAGAACTCTTTCATCTTATGAGTTCTAGGATTATGAATCCACATGGTTCCATCCATAATTTGCACTCCATTTGCCTCACAAGCCTCCACGATTTTATCAAGCTCCGTAACATTAAGCCCAACAGGCTTCTCCAACAAGATATGCTTCTTCTTCTGGGCAGCCAAGCATGCCCATTTGACATGAAGGCTGGTGGGCAAAGGGACATAGACGGCATCGATTTCTGGGTCGTCGAGGAGGTCCTCATAAGAGCCATAAATCTTCGCGCTGGGTGGAAAGTTGTTGGCTTTGGCAAAAGCGGAGACTTTATCCAAGGAGCGGCTAGCAACAGCAGAAAGTTCAGCGTTGGGTGCTAAAGTAATTGCGCGAGACAATTTTCGGGCAATTTCTGCGCACCCGATTATTCCAAACCGAATAGGTTTTTCGGCCATTTGATTACCTGGAGTCGCAGGAGAGAAGGTGGTAGAAGCAACGGTTTTTTTTTTTTTTTTTTTTTAATCTTTTGTAACGATCGTTTAGTGCTCGTGCGAAAGACGCAATAGCGAGGCTTCTATTTATAGATAGGGGATCCAATGGCCACCGAGCGAGGCTTCTATTCATAGATAGGGATCCAATGACCACCATATAAATTATATATTATAGTTTTGTTCAATAATTTTATTTAATATTTTTTTATTAATATAAATATGCAGACTATTTTATTTCCATCTCAACTAATTCTTGAAATTTTAAAATTGATTAATATATAAATTTCTAATAAGTTTGAGATTTATGATACCTTAATTATGAAATATTAAAATATACATATTTTATTTAATTTTTTAAATGTTTGGATGTAATAGTTTTTTAATATATATTAAAGTTTATTGATTAAATAGTTATGAATTTATTTTTTTCATTTTATTTTTTAATTAAAATTAATTAATAATAAAAAATAATATCAATATATATAAATTTCAAACTTAAAAAAAAAATTATTTTAAAAAATAATATAAATTACATTTTAAAATCTTACAAAGCTTTTACATAAAACAATTATTTTACATCACAATCCTCTTTTGATTGTTATGAATCGATAAAACTGTCCCTCGAAAACAAAGCTCACTCTTCACTCATTCTGCTTGTCTATCTAAAATCCCAGAAAACAATCCTTACAGGTCACACCCCTGTCTCTTTGCTCCCCGTAAACAATGCAGTTTCAATAAAAAGAAAGAAAAAGGGAAAATCAGGAATTGCAGCCACAAACAAATGCAGCACTAAAAAAGAGTTCGAAAAAATTTTAAAAAATTTTATTTTTTATTTTAAATTAATATTTTTTGGTATTTTTAGATAATTTTTAAAAAATAAATTAATATTTTTTTAAATTAAAAACAGTTGAAAAACAACCAACCATATTCTCAAAGAAGACTCTGGAAACCAGCACCATTTTAGAAATAGAACAAAAGATAAAAACTAACCCCTAAACAATTGTGCGCCCCCCCGCCGCCGCCGCCCCCCGCCCAACCAACGAGCTGCTTCAAAGAGAGGACTGTTGAAATGACCCCCCGGAAAGGATGAGTCCAATTGGGTCATGAGGTCTCAAACTCATGGTGGAGAAACAGCATGGGAGCGAGCCATGATAACAGAATTATTATTGTGGCAGTGAAAGCAAAATTCGGGATAAGATTATTTAAGGCTTTTGGATTTTAGTGAACAGAAGTGATGAGTAATAAGACAGAACAGGGGTGTCAAGAGAGGGTTGCAGAGGCAGTTTCGTGATAGATCAATATATATTTTTTATATTAAATTCATTTATGACAAAGACAGCCCGATAACTTAACATGTATGAGCTGATAAATATCAAGTTCAATTAACGGGGTCTAATTTTATTTTCAAGTTTATTATCATTGGATTTAATTACTTACTAAAACCAATAGTATGTGTCTACCAAAATGCTAAACTTAATATTTTTTTAATCAATAATGTATTAAGTCTTAATATTTATAGGTTTGATAAAATGCTAAACCTAACTTCCTTGGATTTGACCATACATTAAATTTAAATATATATAGACTTAACAAAATTCTATACTCAACTCTCCTAGACTTAACTGCACATTTAGTCCAAGTGTATATAGGCTTGCCAAGATGTCACACCCAACTTTTTTAGACTTGGCTACACTCTAAACCTAAATACATGTTGGCTTAGCATGATATCAGACCCAACTTCATTAGACTTGGCTACATGCTAAGCACAAGTTCTTGTAGGTCTGAAGAGATGTCATTCCTAGCTCTTTTAGGCTCTACTACATTCAAACCCAAACGCATTTGAGCTTGAAAAGATGTTGAATCTAATATCTTTAGATTTAGAATCATTCAAAGTCCAAACATATAGTCAATGGTCTTTATTAGCCTCATATGAGGTCGCAATGTTATCTATATAACCCTTAACATGGCATGTTAAAAGTTTAGGATAGTCATCTCCCTATATCAAGTAGTGTATAAAAGTTCTCTAAAAGACAGTTATATTTCAATCAATATTAATGTTATAAAAGGGTTATTCTTATCAACATTAATGTTGTATATAAAATAAGATATAAAAATATTTTATAACTCTATTATTTATCCATCAACACTAACAATGTGTAAAGGTAATTCTCATCACTATTAATGCTTTAAGGATCAAGATGACTCTTGTGAAGACCTCTTTAATTGGAATTGAAGGATCAAAAGTCTCGTAAAGAGTCCCATAAAAAATGACTTGGAGATCCTAGTCATGATTGGCACATACCCTAGATGCCTTAACCTCTAATAGACATGGCTTTAACCTATGATTCCATAATAGGAAGGCCTCTTCTGCACTACATAAATGTAGTTATAAGCAAATGGTACTTGGTCTCGAAATTCTCTACTTAGAAAAGGGTGGCTATTGTTGTTAACTTTTTTTGGGTTTCCACACAAAAAATACAAAAAAAAGTATTTAAAAAAAATCCAATAAATAATAGGAGTGAGAAAATGATGTTGGAATACCGAAAAAAAGTTAAAATTGGTTGAAGAGGTTCAAAAATACAAAAGTTTTAAATTTAGCAGTATATCATTGACCGATGAAAGCCTTGTTGATAAAGAAAATTCAATCTTGAAAAAAAAATATTCAAAATCAGATGTTTATAGACTCAATTAAATTTTATCTAAGGTTTAATTGAATTTATGGAGGGTTTGACTTTAAGAAAAAAATGATTTTAATTCAATTTAGGCTTTTATTGGAAAAAATTAAAGTTCAGGGGTCCAATTATAATTTTTAAAAGTTGATTTGATCAAATCAGGAGTTTAATTACATAATTATTAAAGTTTGATGGTTAATTAGGGACTTAATTGAAAGAATCCAAAACCAAGCACCAAACCGGAAAAGACATTAAAATCAAGTGATCTAATTACAGTTTTTCTAGGGGCTTGACTATAAAATTATAAAAACATCCAAGGATCAAATCAAAAGTATCCATTTGAAATTTAAAAAAACGTCAAAACTATTCATTGTCTTCTTTGTTGGCAATGAAGATAGGAGAAGACAACCAAGCAGCTTGTAGCTCAGTGGCGTAAGGCGCTGCTCGCCTTCTTTCAAACTTCGGTTCGAGTCCCAGTGGCAGTGGGGCTGGCGAGTGGTTTCCTTCCTATGTCTGCTGGCTCCTCTCTGTGTGGTACGCCTGTCACCCCCGCGGTGCCTTACCTGTTCACTGGGCTTGCAGGATGTTCAGTGGACCGTGGGATTAGTCGTGGTGCGCATAAGCTGGCCCAGACACCCACGTTAATCAAAAAAAAAAAAGGAGAAGACAATAGAAGCAGACGAGGAAGGAAAAAAAACAAAAGCTAGTGTCGAGGGAAAAAGGAGAAAAATTGCATTAAACACTGCCCGCCACTGTTACAACCACCGTGAGCCATCGTCAGCTTCCTCTCCATCGCCACTAGTATCACTGTGATCGTAAGTTAATACCATCGTCTTCGACATTATTTTCAACATCATTTTCGCCATCAGGTTTGTTCTCCTCATCTCTGGGCATACAATTCCATTTTGCATTTCACTGTTCAAGTGAAATGCAAATGTTACTATTCAAGTGAATTATAATTCACTTGAATAGTACCTACTTCTATTTGCATATGTTCCTAAGTATGCAAGTGAATTATAATTCACTTGAACAGTACCTACTTCTATTTGCAGCACGTGTGAGGAAACTCACGCTTGCGTTTTGTTTTCCTAGCTAGGTCACTCGCTTGGACCAATAACCCGGTTAGGCCTGTTAGGTCTAGCCTAGCCATACAGGCTGAGACCCAGCTCCAAAAAATTTTAAAAATTTATGATTTTTTCATATATTTTTACTGTATTTTCATCAATATTGGTTTGTATTTTTATACTGTAAAGATACCAATATGGTATTAAAATACCTGGTTTTCATCAAAAAACTAAAAAAATAAAATGTTTTGTTTTCATGCATCCGGCCAAGTCTCTCAAAAATAAAACAAAAGTAAAAAGTAAAAAATTCATGTATTATTTTCATACAATAAAGAAATTTTCAAAAATATGTATTAGCATGCATTTTGGCTTTAATAACCAATTTATTAAAGTCACGAGAACTAGACCAATATTTCAAAATTTTCAAAAAAAATTATTTTTTTTTAATATCTGGTGTTACGACTTTATACATAAAACATATTTCAGATATTAAATTCTTTTGTTGACGTTAGAACGATTAGGTTTTACCTAATAAGATAAGGATATCCTTACCAAGGAGAACTTTTGTTAGACCATGAACGGAACAACAATTAGAAAACATGACAAGACCTTAGATTTTATTAGACAATAAAACAATGTAGCTTATCTTAGATAGGGCATTTGGAATACTAATACTTTTTCTTTATGCAAGTAGTCCTCGTACCTGATCTCTGAGATCAATTAGAATTCCTAGTGATCAAAATATTAGATGGCGACTCTCATTCTATTTTTCCACTAATAAAAGACAAGAATTTCTTGTCTCCTCATATTTGCTAGATAAATAGATAAAAGTTAATAGATTTTGAGGGTGGATGTTTTCACTGCGATGCCACACACGTGCAACAGAATGGCAACTCCACTAGGGACTTTGTGGACTAAACTTTGTTTTTGTCTAATAAATTTGTTTTATTTAGTTTGTATGTTTTATATTGATAAGCTTATTTTATTTATTTATTTTTACACCCTTTAATTTCTGTACATATTTGATCATGCATTACTAGTATCAGCCTGTCCCAACAACTAAGCAGTCAACCCCCTTAGAATCCATGCAATTAATCTCATCTTGGGAAATTATATGTCAATAGATCCTCCAGTTTTGAAGGCAATGGCACAGGAATAGTGCTTGCGAGCCCTAACAAACAATGTTTTGAATACGATATTTATTTTGAGTTTTCAGCCACCAACAATATGTCAAAGTATAAAGCTAACGCTTTTTAGTATATGCCAAAAAATTTGAGGACCAAAGTGAATAAAAACTTTGGTGTTTCATTGTACATGCTATAGTGAAATGCTAAGGCCTTTTAGTATATGTTAATAACTAGATAATTGACATGCGCTTTGCTGCAACTCGATCAATTTTTTAATGTAAAAAAATATTTAGGTTTTGTTAACATGTTTTCTAGTAGAAAAACTATTTAAACTATGTGGGGGTTGACCCGATATGATCTGGTCAACTTAATAGGTCCAAAAATAATTTAAACAATCATTAAAAACATTAAAAATATAGTTTGACTAAAAAAATTCAAGACAATATTTAAAAACAATATTAAGACAAAAATATATTGGATCCGCCTAGATCAAACTAGGTTAACCTGTTAAATTCACGAGTAGATTATGAGATTGAAATAACTATTAACTTGTTAAATTTACAATTCAAATAATGAGATAAGAATAATATTTTTAAAAATAAATTAAAAAATATTATAAAACTTAATTATCAATAACTCAGCATCCGGATAGCATAAATACACTTGCCAAGCTCAAAAGGCAGCGAACACTGAATTATTGTTATAAGAAAACGTGCTTAACAATTAAAAAATAAGAAAAGAAAGAAAGAAATCTACACGTGTAATGGTGTTGAATCCACGTGTAATGACAATGAGGAACAACATTACGGTCTTATTTGTTTGATGGAAAGAAGTTTTATCTTGAAAAGTGAATTCTAGGAAAGTGAATTCCAGAAAAGTAAATTATTTTATGATGTTTGGCAGTATAATAGAAGATAAGTTGGAAAACATTTTCTAGTGTTTGGTTATGCCATGGAAAATGAGCTATAAAATAATTTATTAATTTTTTATTTTTCTCAAGTTTATTAAAATAATGAAGAACAAATCTTACAAATTAAAAATTTGAATGAGAATGAAATTGAAAAAAAAA